ATGGAAAATTTCGGGAAAGGGGGGGGGGGGGGGAGAGCCTTGGTGCCATGGGCCCTTCCCCCCCCCCCCCCCCCCCCCCCCCTTCCTGACTACGTGCCTGATGTGTGGGATGTGTTTGTGCCTTTTCTTTCTCGTTCTAAATAAAAACTTTAGAATCTGCTTCTTTTAATTTATATGACCCTGTGTCGTCAGTTGACAAATTTTCAGAGACGCTTTGTGGCAAAAACTGAACTCCGTCTCTTCGCTTTAATGTTGGTCCCCAGTTGATTGAAACGCCACCCTTCTGGGCGCTGTGACTGTACTCGAAAGTGTTTTTTTTTCTTAGTCTCTCAGATGGACAACAGCTTGTATCTTGACGATGTTCCTCTCTGCCCATAAGCAGGTATTGGCAGCGAGTGCAGAACACACACGTAAAAAAGAAATAAGCTTTTATGACAATAAATAAACACAATCACAATCTCATTTAACGGAAGTCTTGAGGGAATTTCAGTGTGAGGAAACAAAAAAATCAGTAAAGCATTATAGCACTGGGGCATTAAAATGTGAACCCGATGTATCATACGTGTGCATACGTATAATGGGACATAAGAAATAGCTACACATCAGCGCAGAAGGGTGTGCGAGTACGTAGATAAAGACCAAAAGAGAAGGCTTAGTATTTGGTCCAGTTGAGTATGATTGTGACTGTACCTGTTTCTTGAAAAGTTCGTAATAAAAAAGTGTATATTTTAATAGCACGGAAGGCATATTACAGTGTAATTCGTTCAAAGCTTAGGTCTAAACGGGAAAATGTGTACCTGAATAGATGTTGACTATACTATGATCTAAAATATTAGACTTTCTAACTCAATATCTTTGTATAACTAAATAAAGACGATCCAGTCCTACACCTACAGTATTGTTCTGCTCGACAAACGCGAAGACGCGAACAAGGCTGGTTCGCGGTTTCAATTACGTTTGTAATCAAAAAGTAGATAAAAAACAATAATTTTCGCTAAATAGCTAGGGATTAGAGAATAAAATAGATAAAAAACGCCCCTCTTTAGCACTTACAAAAATCATGGGTGAGTTCAGAAGTTCTTAGTATACCCAAAAAAACTAATTACATAAAATTTAAAAAAAAATGGCGTGAGCGATGTGACACACGCGTGTAACGTTTCGCATGTTCATAGTATCCTGTGTGATGTTGCCCCACATATCAGATTTTGCTCCGTTAGTACAAAAAAAAAAATTATTTTCTTGCCCTTTTGTCTGCTGAGCTTCTTTCGTGGGTCGCAGTTATTGACTCTTCGAGTGCTCTTAGGCCCATACGCACATTCGCGTTTGAGCGCGGTGCGTTCCGTAGCGGCAAGCGGACGCGTTGCGTTACGAAGACCGCTTGCGCCAAACTTGTACGCACAGTTGCGTTGACACGCAGTCAACCGCAGTCAAGAGCCAATAAGAACGCGCTATCGTCGCTAGTGGCTCACCAATAGTAAGCGAAAATCCATGGCAACATGGTGGCGCACGGCGACAGCGTCGAAGCGTTCGATCTTGGGACAATCTCGCCGGCTTCCCCGACGTTTTGTCAAGCTTGAACTAGGGAGCCTTCATGTGCGCTTTGCTAGGGTGATGCCACCCTTTGTAATACCACTCGCCGACAAACCAGCAGCCATTTTGTTCCTCGGCGATAATCCGTGGGGCTTATAACCCACCCGGAAACAAGCACCTTATCTCAGAAGTTCGGAGCTAGCGTTGTGGAACCCACGGAGGGAGGATTAGCATTTTCCCCCTCGGATGGGATTACCGATGGACACAAAGGCCACTTTCCGGCGCACGGGGAAACAATGAGAGGAACAAAATGGCGGTGGAAGAGGGTGTGGGAAAGGGAAACAGGCAGTTGGCATCACTCTATGCGAAGCGCACATGAAGGCACTCTAGCTTGAACCATCGCAGCCCTTGGAAAATACAGTGTCCACCGCTCCCCAAAACGAAAAAGCAAGCACTGCGACCTGCGAACCGGATACGTCTCGCCGAGTCGGCCGGAGCGAACACGTCACCCCCTCTCCTCTTTCGGCTTCTGATTGGTCGAACGCGCCCGAACGCACCGCAACGCTTCGGAAAGTTGAGCGAGTCTCTACTCGCTTGCGTCGCCGCGACCGAGGCGTCGCGGGAAGGCGCGCGTCGGTCCGCAAGCGACCGCGCCTGGCCGCAAGGACTCCGCAACGCACTCAAACGCGTTCAAACGCGAATGTGCGTATGGCGCTTTACGCAAGCAGACGCGACGCTCTGCTTTCCGCAGTCTAGCCAACGGAGGAAGAAGGGTGCCTGAACGGCGCCGTCCTGCAACGGAGCAAGTGTGGTGGACGGTTCGCTCCCATATCTGACAAACGCCGTGAGATGGCGCAGCATGACCGGAGATGGTAGAGTACCGTCCTTATTCGCGCGCACGTTTTCAAGGCCACCAGGTGCGCGACCGCGCACACGTGCGGAGCCCCTAGAGTTCCTGTATAGCTACCTACGGTAGCAGAGTTGCGCATTCAGCCTCGGCGCTTGGCCGTAGCGCCGGCTTTCCCGCACGAGCTGGTTGCTTTGCTCCTCACGTGACTAAATTTGGCGAATAGCGGCGCCGCGCGCGCCGCCGCGCATGGAAAACAGGAGAGGAGGAAAAGGAGGCGGAAAGCAGGGAAACATACGCCGGGGCAAGAGAAACGTCGGCGGAGCGACCGTAAAGGTGGCTTTCTTGCACGCCAACGGATGCTTTGCTCCTCACGTGATGGATCTCGGGGAATAGCGGCGTGGCGGCGCGGGGAAAACAAATGCGCAACTCTGGCTCCCGTAGGGAGCCTATACAGGAACTCTAGGAGCCCCAACCCGACAGTGCCCCTGCCAGGAGATGCGCCAAGCTTGAGTGGAATTTCGACCTCTTTCCGACACCTCTTACTCGTCCCACCGGAATGTTCCTTAAGTTTCAGCGCAATAAAAAAAAGTAATTATGCTATGAATTATTCAGCACGTTAAATTCAGTCAACCACATTACTTTCTTTGTACATCTACTTCGTATTTTGCTCTGTTCGTCACCAATCTTCCTTTCTTATTTTTTTTTTGTAGATTGCACCAGTTTATTTTGAACGTTCATTTAAATGGCGTTGGACGGGACTTAAGAAGAGCGATAAGCCAGTCGTCTTCTGTTCATAAATTATTCCACGGTCATTAATAATCTAGTACAATGCGATCCAATGCAGCGTTAATTAATCTCGATCTCGAGCATCGTTGAAGGGAGACCGATAGTACGCAGGCATCATTTATTAGCGTTCATAAAAAAATCGTTTTTTGTGTGTTTTGCTTTGAAGCGAAAACGTTTTTTCATGTCAAATGAGAGATGCAACCGTACTCTATTTAATAGCTC